TTTTGTTCTTATTCCTCTCCGCAGGGGAGAAGTAAAAGCTGCATACGCAACCACAAGCAAGCACGAGCGACTTGGGAATGTCCAACGCAAAATATGATTGAAAATGGATTGCCTCTGCACGCGGATCTTTGTTTCTGAGTTGGACTTTTACAAAAAGTTCTGTATGAGTGTTCATGTGATGGTTCTTCCACGGCTCAAGTCAAGTAAAAAAGTGGCTCTTCCACAGCTTTTGAAACTAACATCATCTGCTCAATAAACCAACCAACTCTCCATGTCTTCCATCACGGAAACCGCCTCAAGGTGAGCTCTGGCCGAACAACTTGATCACCTTTCTTGACGAGCCACTCATTCACCTGCGAAGCTTTGCCGAGCATTCGCGGAAGGGCGAATGAACGGAGCGTTCGGAACGCTGAGCTCTTTGACGATCACAAAGACGTCAGGGAGAAGTTCAATTATGTGCAGGTGTTTGGCCACATTTCTGGGACAGACCGAACACCAAACCCGCAACGCAAGAACCGAAACGACAAACCCATACCCATAGACACCCATGTGTGTGTGGGCGTCCCTTGTTTCATACCTGGACCTACAAGGGGTGTCCAATGGAGGTCCCTTAGTGGTGTAGGGGCTTCCATTGGTGACCCCTTTGAAGGTGCTGGTACATAGCATGCCCGTCTTGGAAGACCTCATCGTGCTAAAAGCTCTGCTTTGGAAGCACGAAGGCAAAGAAGAATCATTGAACACGGGTCACAGGGGATGCCGTTTCCGTCTTATTATGGCCTGACTATGCCTGACTCAATATATAATGTGTTTATTTTGTGGTGGTGGTGGCGACTGGCAAAGACTGGGTGGTTCTTGCACTCTGTTTTCAACAAACATGCAAAGAAGAACCTCCAACTGAAGGAGCCCCAACCCTCAAAATACAAAGAGCTGCTGGGCTAAAAAAGAGTGCTTCTTGGCCTGCTAAATCTAATATCTATCCCCAAAGTCTTAGCTCTCTCCAGCCAAGCTGCCCCCCAAAAATCACATCGTGCCCGACCTTGGAAGCAGAATGGGGGCCACCCATAATCAGGATGTTGGATGGATGGAGGCTTCTTCTCTTCAAGGACCTCCGACCCCGACCCCACTCAGACGACGACGACGCCCGAACGACGGTCTCGGTTCGATGGCCCGAATGCGGGGTCGTCCGCTCCGCCTTCTGCCCTTCCAGCGGGGAGATCTTGGCCCAAATGTCCGAGGAGCCTCGCCGCCGGAGAAGGGGTGGTCGGGCGATGGTGGGTCGGATCTTGCTTTCTTGGAGACCTCTTGGAGTGCAGAGTAAGAGGACCAAGTCAAGAAAGTGAGACCATCAAACTAGATGAGGAAGCCCTCCCATGTCCAATGTTCCAGTTGAGCACTGTAGGAACAAAATGTTGGGGTAATTGTGAATGATCACGAGCGAGGGTCCATGAGGTCTATCGAAGAATACGGGCACCGACAGACCAGGCCAGAGAAATCCCTTTCAGTTCCTGTTGGGTCGAGCTACTGCAGACGTGAAACGAAGTCGACAGAGCCGACCACCACTCTGGTGATGCAGAACCGATCTGACCACCGAGAACAGCCCACGAAGCCGACAGCCTTGGTGTAGCCTTAAGCCTTACCACCGCTTGGTGTAGCAGCACGGGCCCGCCCACAAACCTCCCCGTTTGGTGTCGGAACCGGTGCCTGTGTCCACGGCCAGTCGGAGGGAAGCGCCATTCACCTGGTGCCAAGAGGTGAGTGGTGGTTGGAGCCACAAATGTCATAGAAAACCACTGCGTCTTGAGTTTCTTGTGTTTGCTGTTGATGAGACACTGTTTGTTATGTGTTGTCGGGTTTGTTGTGCTTGTTGGTCGTGGAATTGTTTGTGGTGACATTGACGCTGTGGTTGCTGCTCTTGCTATGGAAAAGCGCCGTCGGCACTGTAGTTGCAGTGTCAGTTGAAAAGTCTTGTTGCATGGAGATGGGCTTCGGAAATGCCAATCTGTCAAGCTTTGTAGGGTGCCGTTGGCTTCCCGTGCTCTCCCGGCAAACAATGGAAAGACGTGGCATGCCAAATGGTTTTTCCGCTCGGGCGCTGCAAACCCTTCCAACAACACGGCTTCCCCTGCATCAAAAGGACTTGGACATCGAAAACGAAGGACAAACCACGGAAACCAACCATGTCTGTCATTGCCACCATTGCCTTTCATCTTCATGTGCTCTGCCCCCCACCTGAGCTTCCACCGTGTAAAGGACTCCATTCAAATCTTCCAGTTCCGCTGGCTCCGGCGTAACCTTCGCCTTCGGCTCCACCGCGCGACCCCAGAGCTCCAGCGGAGCGGAGCCCCACTCCGCCTGGCGCCATGCTGGAGGATTCGGTGATGCCGGGTGGGTTACGGCGCCATGATGGTTGAGGGGAACAGGTGCTGGGCCGGCCCCAAGTAGACACAAAGAAAAAATAAGCAACCGTAGTGAAAAGAAAGATCAAATTCTGTAGCCATATCAAGTCTGAGATTCATCTCTCGTAAATCTCGGCCTGCGCTTCCGAAAGCCCCACGACGGTGCTTCCCGGCGGTTTGCGTCCATCGCTCCAGCCTATCACGTTCCGCGTCCCGCCGCGCCTGGCTGATCTGGAACTCGAGCGAGACGTTGGACGTTGAGCGCGGCCAGCGTTCCCAACGCGAGCCCAGTCCGTGTGTGGCCTCCCAAGGCGGTGGGCGGTGGCCCAGGCCAGCGGTCCGGACAGGTGGCGCGGTGGCCAAGCCCTGGAGATGGATTTCGTTCTTGTGCATGTTTGGGGGCCTCATCCTCATCGGCCAAAAGGGCATGAAAAGCCACCAGATGGGAGGGGTCCCAGGTCTGCTGGATCGAAATCCAGAAGGTATGATGCAGATGCAGCAGCAGATGCAGCAGCAGTAGTAGTCGTACCAATTTTCTCAGTTCAGAAGTGGAATTGTGATGGTTCGGTCAAGCGATATCTAGGTGGCAAAGCAACCTGATTGACGTCTTAACAAACTATGACAAAACCTCCATGTTAAAGCCCCTGGGCGGTCCCCCAACTAGCTCTTCTGAATCCTCCAACGGTGCAAAATTGACCAGGCATTCCAAATTTGTTGGTGAGGGCAACTCTCCAAGGAGCAGAACCCATGGCTTCCTCCCTCAGGTCGCTCAGTAGCTCTTCGTGCTCCTAGGCTTCCTCCCTCCCTTCTCCCGCGGCCTGGGACGGCTGCAAGGGCAGCAGATGCAGAACCGCCGCGTCGGACGTGACGAAGATCAACGCGAGAAGATCTCGACGCATGGCCAGAGAAGGTGCTATACAGTATGGCCCCTTAAGGAAGGCAGGGGGGGAGGGTTTCAAGTTGGCCCCAGCGCGCCAGCTGGCGCTGCAGTTCCAGCCCTAGAAAGTCGTGTAGGGTTGCGCCACGGAGGTGTTGAGATCGGTTGACATGGCCTAGCTATACACCTGATGTCGTTTGCTTCCTGTCTTTGTGGTGCGGCCGTTGCTTTCACAGTCATGCCTTGGCTTTCACGGACTTGCTAGGTGAAAAGATGCACAGAGCCCTAAAGGTTCTCCTCATACCTTGAAGAGTTATAGTTGAGGATAGTAAGAGCTCTCTATATAACCAGGAAAAGTTATATAACTAGTGTTGTATACGTGCGAGTCACTAGTAAGGACAGTTGAGTTTTTGTGTCCTCCCGGCTCCCTGATGTCGATGTCTGCTGAAGCTGGGCCACGAAGCTGAGCCAACGCTACAGCATTGTCACATTGTGTTTAAGGACAAAGTTTGATGAATTTCAACTTGAGTCTTTGATATGTTAATTGGAATGTGCATGTTGGAAATGCTGGCATCGGTCGACGTCTGATTCGGTAACCAAACGGTCTGATTCAGCAACTATGATTCGGTAACCAAAAGCGCTGATTCGGTAACCAAAACGTCTGATTCGGTAACCAAAACTGCTGATTCGGTAACCAAAACCGCTGATTCGGTAACCAAAACCGCTGATTCGGTAACCAAAACCAGGAAACCAAAACCAAAAACAATTCCAAAAGAAGAAAAAGAAGAAGTAGTAGTAGTAGTTGGTGGTGGTGGCGGTGGTAGTGCCACCGATGCAAAATCTCTCCGCGAAGCAACAGGAGAAACGTTATTATCTTGGCCATGGTTCCCCCCCACCCACCCACCCCCTGTGTTTCGTTTTTCTGTGAACTAACCTCTGCATGGTCTCACCTCATATGTATGTACATGACTGACACATTTCATTGTCCGTTGGACCTCTCTCGAGACCGTGTTCTTTCCATTGGAAATCCACTGCATTGCACTTCGTGTCACCCCCCCCCCTCCCCCCCCACCCCACACTCCTCCTGCCGTCCACCTTCTTATTTGAATGAGTGTAAAAGGCCTTTGCATCCACGTTATTATCTTGGCAATGGTTCCTGCCCCCCCACCCCCCATTCCAACCATCGTCTGGCTTAGTTTCTGAACAGTCTAACTTGGCTTCTGAATCGACTGTTTTGGTTTCTGAATCGGCCGTTTTGGTTTCTGAATCGGCTCTTTTGGTTGTTGAATCGGCTCTTTTGGTTTCTGAATCGGCTGGTTTGGTTTCTGAATCGTCCGACTTGGTTTCTGAATCGGCTGTTTTGGTTTCTGAATCGGGACTCGCTTGGTTTCTGAATCGGCCGTTTTGGGTTCTGAATCGGCAGTTTTGGTTTCTGAATCGGACCATTTGGTTTCTGAATCGGACTGTTTTGGTTTCTGAATCGTAGTTGCCTGATCGGTCGGCTTCTGAATCGGCCAATGACCTGCATGTTGGAAATGCTTCGCGGAACTCCAACATGCCGTACCTGCACTTCCAATGTTCCAGTTCCACCCCTTTCACCACCACTGTCCACCCCAAAGACCCCACAGCCTACCACATTGGTCAGGATCCTTCAGGTTTGACACCCTTGGCCATCCATGCGCCCACGAGGCAGCTCCGCCCAAAAGCGCGGACTTCGCGGCCGTGGCCTGACAGCGTAAGCGGCAGTAGTGGCGGCCTGCCTGGCAAGCAGCTGGGGCACCGGGAGTGCTGAAATCGCTGAGAAATCCACCTTTTCGAGGACTGGGAGATGTAAAGACCCTCCCGGAACGGGGCTTCTTTGAGATTTAGCTGTATATATATATATATATATACCAACCCAACTGACCCCTGTTTTGATAGGAAAAGACCTTATTTTGAACCGTCTGTCTACAGCGTTGCTTTTGAAGCTCCATTTGCCTCTAGCAAAGCTCTCCTAGGTCCTGGACTTCGGACTCACAGAGCAAGTCGGACAAGGGAAACTCTCCCAGAACCAGCCAGGATGTGCTGCCATCGCGGCTGGATCGCTTCCGGGCGTCCTCGACCGACCCGACTAGCCCTTTGCGTTCATGAAAGGTATGGTATGGGGAGGTGCTTTCATGTTCGGGGTTGGGTCAAGATCTCATCACTTCACTCACCCCGCGGCATCAACGTCGGCATCAATGCAGTGGTTCCAAGCATCCAGGCGCCATGAGCTGCTCATGGCTGGGTCTCAAATTCTTTTACACCACCAACGCCAGCCGGGCCGGTTCTCCCAGCGACCCACAAGGGTCGAGGACACACACACTTAGGATAGGGTGTACTGAACTGAAAGCGGTGCCACACGCCGGCCTAGGGTTCCATTTCCTA